TATATATATATATACACACACCATAAAATGTTAATAAATTAGCTTATTCAAAGCTAATGGCTGCAAAACTTCAATAATCATTGAATCCAGAGAAGAAAAACAAAAGTCTTTGCTCCAATGACTTTATTACCAAAACAGACTGTTTGAATCCAAAGAGCTTAATTTTGACACGTTCTATTCTTTCTGTTTCATAGCATTCAAGCAGAACACAGAGTGAATTCCTTTAACTCTGGGGCCAAGGAAACTATTCAGACATTAAATTAAATCTAGTTCGTAACATCTTTGCACAGATATTGAATGCTTAACTACAATTATGCCTTATTTTATTCCTAAATTTATTGGTTAATTAAAACAAAGCTTTAATTCAAGCCAATATATCTTTGAACATGGTTTGTAGCAAAGGAAATACAATTGGCTAATTCATAGAGGAATACATCAGCGCAAACTGCAGCCTGCAATATGTGGCTCTATACTTAAAATAGCTAGTATTTTGTTGTTAATTTCTAGAAGAAAGCTTACCTACTAAACCAGTTAGCACCTCCCAGTGGAGGTGTAAAAACAATGAGGAATACTCCAAGTTTATGTTTATGTTAACAGCCCTAATTATGTGGTTTTATTTACATTAAAAATGACTTAAAAGCGCTACCAGGACAGATGCTTGGTGTTTATAACCGCATTTATAATGATCAGATGGTTTTTGTCCTTTTAAGCCCTCCTGAATGCATGATAGGGAATCCTTTCTTTTTTTTTACTCCAATTGCTACTGGTTGCAGACTGCTCCCATCAGAGAACCGTCTGGATAATAACAGGCCATTTTTGGAGCAGATCTTAATGAACTGTGTCTCTCTGACATGCCGGTATATACTGGGATAAAAGGTAAGGAGTCCTGTCTCTTAATGGGTCTCTGTGCAGCATAAATACACTTCATCTGCACATGCATCCTTTAAAGTCGTAGGGAAGTGGCTGTTCCAACCGTTGCATTTCCAAATTCTTCCTGAGTGGTAAGCGACTTTACACGAGTGAATAAAGTGAATCTGATTGGTCGTTTATCGAGGGGCGAGATAGTTGTGGCAGAAGGTTTGCAAGCAGGTTTATCGGAAGCATTTGGCTAACCAGTTAGCAACTTAGTGCTAGTAGGTTCCCAATGGGAAATTCCATTGGGACCAAGTAGCACTAAATTGGTGACTTAGCAACGACACTGTCAAGGAACGCTATGGACAGAGGAAACATGCAAGAGGAGGAGAGTTTTGTATCGGAGGTCGTGGATGAGTCTCCTCCATCCTATATTTTTTATTTAGTGGAGGAAAGCGGGGATGAAGATATTGTGGAAGAGGACGCCAGGGCGACAGACGCTTTGTTTGGTGTAGAATTATTACAGCCGTACATGTTTGAGCCCTTGCCTCGCAACGCTGCCAGTTCTGTTAGCTCTACGCCTGCCGAAGACACAGACTTCCATCCCTGTGAACACTGGGATGGAGCTCAATGGTTAAGTAATTTATTCTTATCTCTTTTTTCAACCCTAAACCTATGACCAAAAAAATGTTATTGACAGATGGCTGTTGATATATGATTGGCCAGATTTAGGTGTACAAGCTCATTTATAACTAACTGGCCTGCTTAAGATGACAAAAAAACCAACAGATATTAAGACAGTATTTTTTAAAAACTAGAAATTTTCCAAACTTGGGACAATATGATAAAGAGTACATTTATATACATGTTTAAGCCAGAATGATTTAAATGACTTCCCTACGACTTTAGAACACTCCCCTCATGTATATCTGGACCTCAGATTTAGCCTTTGGTCAGCCCAATAAAGAATAGCCTGCGTCTTATTGGCAAATATTTGATATTTAGATATTGTTTTTCAGCCAATCTGACGCTTTTATCCTCTAGAGTTGTGTGTTTTTCCCAAAAACTCTTTTCGGGAAAATGTCTGAGCTTCACTGCCTGACAATCTAGTTGAAATTATATTTTTTCAGGACGGTTGTTTTCTAATGAAAGATTATTGCTTTCTAAACATTTGTTATATTATATTTAAACCCGATACATAAATGATTTATATATTTCCTGCAATCTTACCTGTCCTTGGTCCAGAAGTATCCTTGCAGCAAGTTCAGCTGCATCCTATTGGAAGGAAATACAGTTTCATTAGCAGAAGCACAGCTCATGTGTTTGTGTTTTTTATTTTTATACAGTTATTATTTAGGGATGGAAGATTTTTTAATTAGATGTTAAAAAAATAGTAGCTCAATGAAATAAACTCAAAAAGATGAAAGACAAACAATCAGAAAACAAAACTACTTAAAAAAAAGCTTAAGTTAGATAATGTAAATGTATTCAGAGTCACATTAATATTATCTGTTATTTTCTGTCACCTTTATCAGCAAAATGAAAATCTACCAATAAAAGGGAGACAAGTGATTTCAGTTCTGCGTGCTTCTGTTTTCTTTCAAATAAGGCCATGCATCCTTTAAGATGACGGGCTTTAGCCTCTTGTGACCAACCAGGGTTTGTGTCCACTGTGGCAGGAGTGACTGAGGGAAAGTGTGATGATTTAAGGTCGTCCTAAATGTTCACCTTACTGTTTTAAAGATTGCTTCTGTATCCTTATGAGGGACCTTAACAACCTGGTTATTAGCTAAGATTACCGTAGAAGATTTTTGCCTTCATGGGGTCATAATAGTTGTAATACCTGGAAGAAAATAACATGAAGGTCACCTGTTAATCAACAATTTTAAGAATATTTTTTCAATGTCTATTTTAGATTTTGTCTCTTGTGTATGTCATGATCGCAGTGTTTTCTGTTTCATTAGTTAAGTCCATGGTTCATGTCCTGAGTCCTGGTGGCGTGCGTGTCGACAGGGTTTTAGTGTTTGCTTTCTCCTGATGTTTCCCGGCTCTTCTCCGCTGAGCCCGTTCTGGTCATGTTTGGCTCGGCGTGTAGGGGAAGCCAGTTTTAAGTCCCGTGATCGTGGCTCCTAGATGAAGCCAGTTTAAAGTTCTGCAGGTTTTCCTGGTACCATGTCTTCTCTCTGTTGCTATCAACCACTGGGCCCGCTGTGTTTCTCTGAGCTCGTTGCTGGGCTCATGGAACTCTGAACCAGCCTGGGCAATCCATGGATTCCTGAAACCCTGGATCTGTCAGTTCCTGTTCGGATCAGAACCCTGGGTCGGGTTATGGATTCCTGGATCTTAGAAGTGTTCGGTTCTGAACTGTTTCCCTGAACTGCATCTGATCCCTGCCTGCTCACTTGGGTTGCAGCATTGGGGCTCGGCTGGATCCTGCCTTCCTTAGAGTGGATGGACTGAACTGTTAAACCAGGTAAGTGACTCACATCATCAATCATCTTTTATTTTTGTCATTGTCTTTTTGTCGCCTGAATACTGGGTCCATCTACCCCATTATATGACAGTTTAACTCCCTTTTTGCACTTTAAATCTTTGTTTAATGCCCCTTTATGATTATCTAGCAGGAAAGACAAACCATCTCTTCCTTGGCTTTTATTTTGATCAAGATCATATCGGCTTTTCTCCTCAATAATCAAAGAAAGATGATCAATGTTTTACTAGGCTGTTGACTGGTGCAGTTCTTTATTTGACCACAAGGTGTCGTTAACAGCTGTTGTTACAAAGCAGAGCAGAGCAGGGTCTGCTTTCGCTCCCTCAGGGTTTGACGTCAACGCTGAAGCTCTGCTCTGAAAGCTGCACACAAACCCTCACCTTCTGCACCAACCCAAAGACTTTTCACATTTCTGCCTGGAATACAAGCTGTCTGATAAAGGATTTGCTGAGATTTAAGAGTGCAAACACTGATCTGGGTCACACACAAGTTAGACTTTCTCATTAAGTCTTACTTCTGACTAAATAAGTTCCCCATGCACGCTTATATAAGAAAGTAATAACACAATGTATAATGTGTGTCTATTATATGTGGTAGAAACCGACCTTGGCAGCATCACCCTGACCCGTAAGCAGAGGCTTTTCCTCTGTGATGGCGATTTCCTGCATTTCTGACGTCATGATGGCTCCTCCTGTGGGTAAAGAAAAAAAAACACAAAATAAATCTAATTTCCTCGTCCTTTTTAAATCTTTTATAGATAGATACAAACATGGATTGTAGCTTCTGCATTTCAGCACAGGAAGTGATTAAATACTGCATGAAGCTGTTGTCCTTTGGGACTTGAAATGGGCTACAGGGCCTTATGAAAGTTAATTAGTAATTAGTGCCAGCAGATATGAACAGAAAAGGATTGTGGGGAGAAAAGGCAGGTCAAAAGGAGCCAAAGGAAGTACTATCAGAGAAGATGGGACACATCAAAATATAGGTCAGAGCAGATTAAAGTATAAAACACAAATCTAGAAGGGATTTTTTTTTTAAATATGCAGAAAAATGAACAAACACAGAGAACACAGAGAGGTATAAAATAGCCGAAGAAGAAATGACAACGCAGTGTGAAATGACAGCAACCTAAGGGGACGGCTGATTGTGAGAAACCAAAGCCTCCGACGGGGATGAGAAAAACACCTCAGCAGTATGATGCTGGGTGTTACTGTTAGGGTATGAAAGCAGTCATGAGCTAAAATGACGAGAAGAAAATCAGAATCAGAAACAACTTGTTTTAGTTTGTATTTAATCAAACAAGAAATTGACTTTATTCGACTGATCATGTTGTAAACAACCAACCACTCTCTGTATCAATGACCATACAAGGGGCAACATCCAAACACTTTGTAGTTGATAACTGAGCCAACAGCAGGATTAGCTGATGACATCTCTCTTGCTTAAGAGAGATCGCTCAGACGCGCCCACTTTACTTGTAAAACTTTTCATTTACTTCCATTTATTTGTAAACTCATTTCTATGGCCTAACCCTAAACTTAAAGGTATAGTGGAAGATGTTCTTTTTCCGGGTGGATCATCAAAATAAGTGGTCCTCCTAATTGTCAATCATTCTAGTGATATGTTTACATAAGGCTGTATGTTTACGTGCTTGTCTGCATTTTCTCTTACCAGTTGCGCGTCTGACATAGTGGGAAAATTTTAAAATCTTCTTTTGGAAAGTTAGCTTGTATGAGCGATGCAAACAGCAACCTTTAAACAGAGCGCGCACGAGGAGAACCTGGCTGGTGTATGCTCTCGCAAGCGTTTAATAGGCATTCCCTCTCTGGAGCGGGTACAGGGTTGTGCATGCGCAGGTTTTAAAAGTGGAGAGGGCGGGTCTTTTCAAACATTTGCGGAGATCCTCCACTATACCTTTAACCCATACTCAATTCATACCTTAGTCCTAAAGCTGACCCCCATTTAAAGAAGAGAACCTGTCCTCATGGGACCAGTCATTGGTCCCCACAAGTACCTATGAGTACCCAAAATGTAGCACATTCCTGCGAAATTGCCTCCACCAGGTAACAAAACATGGCCACACACACGGGTACTGACATGTGGTATTGCATTACAGTCGCCCAACTGTTCCTCATGAGATACAATGATACAATTGAGGAGGTAATGTCAAAACTAGCCCTTTTCAAAAATAAAGTAACAATTAGCATTAGCTTACTCTTTAGCACTCCTCCTTATCCAGAAGCTATGTTCCATTTTATCCCTCGCCCCCAAAAAAGAAGAGAATTACAAGACGTATGCCAATTTTTCAATTCACAAGAATGCGAGTACGGACCCGTGTTATATCCGAGTGTGTTCTTGAGAAGAGCACAGGAAAGTCTGGATTCTGGGAGAATGGGAGCAAGGAGCATAAATATGAATTAATTGGAACAGAAGGGTACTGGTGACGTCTCCACATGACTGGCTTGTGTGCAGCTGCATTTCACCTCCTGTTATTAATTATCTCTAGATAATAATAAATACTTACTTTTTAATTTATTGGGGTGAATAATAATGAACATAGTCATATAAACACAAATCAAATGAACATTTTGCCAATTAAAACAAAAAACTCGCCATCAGAGCCAGCGGTCCTTCACACATGGCTATGCTGAGAGAGGGCTGCTGCAGACGGGCTGCGGTTAGCCCAGGCTGCTGCTCGCCTCGGAGGTCCGCTGGTTGCCGCGGTCCTCTCAACTTCTGAATTTCTTTTCTAACTACGCATTAAATCGGTAAATGGGCCATATAGTGACGCTTAAAAGTATAATGCTCTCGTCTCAAATGATCTTAAAACAAACTTTTATTGAACAACAGCATCAGAAAAGATAACCTTTAACTTAATACTCTGAGCTCTGTAAGCTGCTTCAGCCGCCATGCATACTGGGACAGCTGTCAATCTGAAGAACGGATAAGTGTGCTTTGATGCAAGCTGGGTAAATAGGGAGGGCAAGTACAACATCCAGGGACTTTGTCCGTTCTCACAATTCGAATTGGGTTCCAATTGTAGCAGTACTATGGCTGAGGATGATGACGTTTCACGAGCACATGAGTACACATATATAGAAACGGCAATAGCGAGACACAAATGGGGCCTAAGATAAGTTACCACCATCACTGACAAAATAATAACCTGCGTCTTTATTAAACGCAGGCAAGTCCACAGTGAGCACATCCTAACAATATTGTCCAACACTTAAGCCAGACCAAGAATTAACGTCTTAAGTGTGTGGATTAAAATAAAACAAATATCTAAATAGTTCAATGTTAGCTAACATTTAGTCACTGACATTAGTTATCTATTACTAACAAGATTAAAAAATATATTATATGATAATGTTAATGTAATTACAAAGAAATTATGTTTTCAGATAAAGATGCTGCAACTAGCATTAGATGTAGTTTAGTGTTCCTCTGTTTTATATCAACAGTAGCCCGATTTATACTATCCTTTTGAAACTTTGTTCAGAGTGATCCGAGCACGGTTACCCAGGTAACTGTTGAGTGTAAATGGAAGTGGATCATGCAAGACTCAACCAAAACGCGCTAAATCTAGCACTAGTTCAACAGTAGGGCTTGGTTGGGGCTCGGTTGTCTGATATCAAAGAGCACATGAGCAGACCGCGTCATCTACTTACAGTAAGGTTCCAGTAGTTGGCGGTAATGCACATCAGTTAGCTGCTTGCCAACCACCCGCCGTAAAACAGAAGAGGAACTGTAAACAACGAGTGTAGTGTGACCTTGGATAACGTCGAGACTGAGGCTCTTATCGCGCTTCTTCAACCTGACTCTCTGCAAACAACAAAATATCACAATTGTAATCAAACATATCTTCCTGAAAGTTACGGGCGAGGCCTTTTTGATTTGCTTGAGTCCCTCCTTCAATCCTAGCAGTGATACCGTAGATCGCCACTAGGAGGCAAAGAACTGTGCTAGCATGCTGTGTAAATGGTCGTAAGGAACCAAGCTCGGTCTGAACTCAGCACAGATCGGTTTAAGCTAAAGGGCTATATGTATTTTTTTATTGCTTTAATTTAAAAAAAGTTAATAATTTATTCTGCAAGTTGTATTAAATAATTATTGCATAAGCAAGAAAAAAAGCTTTTTATTACACATTATTAAACTTATTTTATAGGATTAAAAAGGTTACTGAATAAAAATAACTAGGTCACTCTGACACTGTATCAGACTATTTGACACCAAGTTTTACTTAAGTGGACTCTAACTGTAAGATAGCTCACTTTTTTTAGTTCAACCCAACAGTCTGATGGGAAAGATTGTTACTAGGGCTTTTGAATGGGCTGTTGTGGTTGTAATTTTTATTAAGGACTCCCATTAGCAGTTGCTATGGCAAACAGCTAGCTGGCGCTAAGGGGGATTTTAAAACTCGACTCCATACTGTGTATTAAAACACAAAAGCCTTCCAAGACTACTGTGCTTGTTGTTAGCATGTCCTCTTCTTTCTTGTTAAATTTTTTGCTGTAATTGACTCATTTTATCATCACATCCCCAGCTTTTAAAGACAGCAGAGATGTTGACGCTACTCCATGATACAGTCGGAAATTTAGATCACTCTTTACTCATATATTTAGTTATGCTATTTATCCAGGGAAAAATGTTTTTACTCAGTTTGTTTCACCTGCAAGGCTGAAAAAATGTCTGACATAGGGGTGGTTTTAGACAAATCATACTTGTTATTTGTTTTAACTCTGACACAACCTTCACAGTTTTTTCATCAACATAAGTAAGAGGGATAAACTCTGTCTAGTCAGAACAGGGCTGAGAACTGTCCCATAAGGACTGTATGATGAACTGGTCTCTCTTTGCAAAGATAAGAAAATAAAGTGCCGACTGAGTGAAATCCATCGATCTCCATTTATTTAACTAGGGTGAATAGTTGAATAATTTTTTTCCCTCTACTACAGCTATAGGGGCCATTATTCAGGTGATAAGGAGTTAATTGAGTGTTTATATTTACAAACAGCCAACATAACATGCATCCTGTATCCACCTCAATACTGAACAATGTAAACAAGCCTTAACTTGACTTTCAATCAGTGCATGTATTTCTGCTTAAGCATCCCTCCCTCCACTCTGGTATTTGCAAGAGGAGTAATGCCAGTGAGTTTCCACCTAAGGATGAACAGTGTCGCCCTCTAGGGGATGGTCATAAAACGCTAATACTAAAATAAATGTATTTCAAGCGCATGTTATGAACAAATCAGGCACAATAAATCACAATCTAATGGTAATTATTTCTTTCACACCTAGTTTGCAATAATTCGTCTTTTCCCGTTATATTTTCTATAGCCCCATTTACTCTAGCCTTCTGAAACTGAAACGAGATTGGTCCGAGCACTGTAACCGAGATAACTGTTGAGTGTAAATGGCAAGCACAACTGAACCGGACCGCACCAGACACAACCAAACCATGCTAACATGGTACTAGTTCATCAGTAGGGCTCTCAGATAACAAAGAGTGCATTAGCAGACCATGTCATCTCCTTACAGTCAGTCTCTGTAATCATGAAATTTCAGACGTGATGATTCTGCTTAGCAGTGTGAATAACCTCAACTCCCGTTGTTCCCTGGGTCTGTAAACCCTAATTAGACTATTGTATGTCGTATCCACTTCCCAAAATCAGACTCTGTCAAGTA